AGCATCGAAGCACCAAAGATTGTGAAATCTTTCAAGAAATGCTGCATTTCAAATTCATTGAATGGCAGTGAAGATGACGAGCTCTAGAACGCTGAGGATGACGATGATGATGATGAGGAAAGAAGAAATGAATCTGCGTCTGACGAAAAGAGCTGCGAGGATTCCAGTGATGAAAACAGTGAATAAAGACGTTTACTATTAATCACTAATTGTAGAAAACTGTTAGCTAGATAGAAATGTTACGATTTATTTCATGTTCATATTTTACGATAGGTTACCGTATATATACGGTAGTGGTAATTAACAGTGATTGTTCCACATAACAACATTGCCCACTAATAGGTTAATTCTATGTTCTACTACTTTATGTATAAATCCATGTGTTGTATAAAATATGGTATCTAAATTTAAATAAAATTATCATACCATTAATTGATAGTTTATATACAAATCCATTGTTGTATAAAATAAGATTCAATAAATTCCTCATATCATTGATGCGCATTACATTCGCCGACAAACAATTTTTTTATTATTTAAAGTTTTAAAATGGGGATGCGCATTAGATTCGATGGCGCATTAGATTCGCATAAATACGGTATATTGTGGTTTTCAGTATGCAGGTTTTTTTTTTTCCTTCTTAAACCGAGTCATCTATATTAGGATTAGTTCTTGAAGATGCTAACAAATTTAGGTGTTTTAGGTGCATATCAGTTAATCTTGAACAATATTTTGATTTTATTATGTTCTTAACAATATCTGACAGTCAAATTGTGTAAATTTGGAAAATTGCTAGTAGATACAAATTTCTAAAATTCGATAGAATTTGGATCACTTGCAGTAGAAATAAGTTCCTTATATTTAATTTTCAGTGTAGTATGCTGTAGGTCAATAATTTCGATTTGGATTTCAGTTGGGTAACAGCGTCTTGCAAAGAAACTGAAAAAATGTTTAATGAAAAGATCAGAATTTTTTTTATCATTTTGAAAATCATCAAACCTAGTGCTGAATGAATCCTGCAAAATGGATATTAAATTTTTAAATCTATCATAGTTCGGAGCATTATTGACTTTGGTAACTAGTTCCTGCATTGATGTGAAATGTGTTAATCTTTTTTTCCCTCCAAAATCGAGACAAAGTATGCAGAAGTTGATTCGCAAAAGAAGATATATGACCAACTAGGGTTGAAAAAATACCATCTTTTCCACGTAATCTTAAATTTGTTATTTAAATTATAATATCGATGAGAAAACTAAATCCCATAGCTAGTCTTCATTTTTATGTAGCAAGCATTCAATGGGCAGTTCATTGTTTTCTTCCAGATATTTTAAAACACGCCCACAAATCTCATGAGTGCACTTCCTTTGGAAAGCCAACGCACACTACAATGAGTAACTCGCCGTCCTTTTCCGTGAAAAGCTCACCAAAATATCATCAATCGGAGCTCGAACTTGTATTTTGTTGATACAGCATGCTTCAATGTCAACAACAGAGGACAGGTTTTAGTTTTTGGTACAAAGAGGTTCTTGATGCATAATCCAATCAGACTTAAAAACTTTTCTTCCCGAATAATTTACAAGCAATGTAACAAAACCGTTAATTCTGCCAACTATGCATGGTGCTTTATCTGTGCAAATGCTATCTAATTTTTTCCACTCTACTTTGTTAACTTCAATTACATTTTTAAGTTCTTTAAAAATGTCTTCACCTATAGTTAAAATTAGCTGGCACAAATCATGTTCTTCCACAATATGAAAAATATTATTCGTGTAATGCACAAATATGCTTAGCTGGGCATTGTCTAAGATGTTGCAGCTTTCATTCAAAGTTAATGAAAAGTATTTGCAATACTGTAGTCCAAAGACAATTTGTGTGGCAACATACTGGCCCATATTATCTATACGATGCATGATGGTATTTCTATAAGCTTTCTGTAAGCTATCAACCATATTTTTTGTGCTTATATCTCCAACATTTTAGGCCAATATTAAAAGGCTATTTTTTGTTATTATCTGCTCTCCATCAGAATACGTTTTTTTTTTTTCTTGCAGGCTAACAACAGCGAAAATTGATAAGAAACCTTCACCATAGTTTCTATTTTGTCATTTCTCTTTTGGAACAAGGATTGTTGGCTGGCTAAAGATTTCTTTTTCTTTTTTTAATTGATAAATTTTCTTTGCAAATGTGATCCAACAGGATAGTTGCTATTGAAATCACTATGCAGTTGTTTGAAATGTCAGTCTAGGCTAAATATTTTAGGCACTGCTACACAAATTGCATGTATCAAACAAACAGGCTTGGAAGTATTTTGATGCATAAACAAAAATTTTTCTTCCCAGACAGTTTAAAAATTACTAATTGCAATATCCTCTTCATATTTTCTTTTCGATGTCGAAGGTTTAATCATGGGCATAGTGAAAGTAAAATTTTTAAAATATCAAACAACGCTCGATGTCAAAATCTAAACGCAGTTGAAAAAAGCTTAACATCTTGCTTAACAGTTTAAAATCTACTGAGCCAACAAAATAGCAAAGGAATATGGAATATGTCACCAGTTTGTCTGAATCTGAGAATGTTTAGAAGCGGCACATGCACATTATTTATAAGCATCACTCAAGTGTCTGTGAATATGCTTTTCTTGACTTGTTATGTTTCTGTTTTATATCATTAGAGTTAATTATGGTATTTGTATCAAACATGTAGAACATAACTCATCATTTGATATATTTTCTTGTGTGCTCCGCTTCTGTATGCAGCTGTAGTTGAACTTGGAGAGTAGCTCAAGAGTGTTGCTATGGTGAAATAAAACAAAACTAAAATTCAAACAGTTAATAGTTATTTTAATGTGTTTATGTGTATATCTATCAACGAAGTCGATACAGATGGTTATTTTTTTAAAAATTTTTCAATAAGTCTTTGCATGCCACTGTTAAAACTGGGCTGTGGCACGTGTGCCATGGGTTCGCCATCCCTTTACTAAACAAAACAACCTCTGTGTCAATTTCCGATGCTTCAGAACCCATTGGCTGTATGTTCGTGAATTTGACTTCTGGTAGAGTATATATTGTGTAACTTTGTATTCTATTCTGATAGAACATAATAGCATATTCTTGTGCTAGTATCTGCCAAATGGTTACTGATTAACTATCATCTATTTTTATACCATAATATTTAATCAACATAATACTGTATTGGCTCTTCCAACACAGTAGCACATTAATTACGATTCTGTGATATGTGGTTCATCTATTGTTGCTTGACAGCCTTCATGAGGTTTCTCTTGCACTTAAATGCTCCACTGTACACTAAAAACTGCTAATGAAATCTTCTTCAGTTGCTTTCATGTGGTATATAATTTGTTCAGGTAATATTTTGATGATTTCATGTATTTGAAGCTGAAAGGAAGTATTTTTCTTGTTTTTCTCCTAATATGTATCTGCAAAACAATATCTCCCTTTCATTTATTTGAATGAAAAGGTAAATCCTTGTCTGGGTATGAAATGAGCATTTTTGCAGTTTATTAGAATAAAAGTTAAATGAATCGCAATTACATTCAAGTGTTTTCCCCCCTTTAGTAGTGAAAATCATACCGTTATAGAACTGTAACGATCTTTAAATTTAAATGATTCCTATTTATAATACGGGCATGTAGGTAATTGATTGCAGCTAAGGCTGCAAGAATTATTCGTTTGAGTAAGTTTGTATGGAGTACTTTTCTGAAGTTTAGTGAAGTGGTAACAGCCCCATTAGTGGCCAAGTGGTTTACACTGCTGATCACTGGGAGCTCAACATGGGTTTGACCCCAGACTAATGGGCTGTCTGCATAGTTGTTTATTGTGGTTTTCCCCTGTGCTTCATGTGAATTTGAGCCAATTTTCCTTAAAAAAAAACATGCATGCATGCCTCTTCAATCAGATAGCTGGCGTGTGCTTTGTCATATTCCAGTGAACTAACTGTCCACTAGATTGCATTAAGGAAAGATGTTTTAAGGAAAACTGGGCAGCTTGCGATTGAGTATATGGCCTCGATTCCTTCTGGTGGCTGAATGAGATAACCAGATAAGGTTTTCAAAGTTTCTCTCTTGTGTTATTTGAATACGAATCAAAAATCATCAAGAAAGTTATCCCTTACCACTGAGAAATGGTTAATAGTATTTGTTTATAAAAGTATAATTTTAGGACTTAATATTTGGCACCATTAATGTCTTTCTTGATTGCAAAAGACTGAATTTATATATCAAATTCATCAGTAGAGAGTAGAATCAGTATAGTCATCAGTAGATAATGTAATGATTTTGAAGAAAGTTTCTATGCTTGCTCTGATAAAATATTCTTTAATAAAGATTTGTATGCATTAATTTTAATGCTTCTTTTTTAAATAGATGTTGCTTAGAAAATATAGTTTTTAGAAATTATCAACAGCGGTCTTGCTGCATATTAGTTTCATCAAAATAATTCATTTTGAGAGGGAAGACTGATTCCTAGTGCTTCAGGGAAGCTATAAAAACCACCAGGAAATGAATTTGATGGAAACAAGTAACGTTATGTAACTACTCAAATATTCATGCGTTCAGCTAAGGTTAATTGTGTCGTGTCTGTTTCTCATGCCATATAGAATAAATCATGAAGACATTTATCAGACCATTCTGCTAAGATTAAATCTTGGAATAAGCTATATTTACTTGGTGGACCCATGAATAAATTTAACAAAAAAGGCAATATGTACAGTTCATTTGCATGTAAGGGGAGAACAAAGAGAAATAAATGAACATAGAGGCTGCATTAACTCTGAAGTGGACATTTTTAGATAACTTTATTTCATGCATGTGTATGTCCATGAAAAGACCTAAAATTGGACTGCACGTATAACCAAGAGTACATTGTTCTTGTCCTCTTTTGACTTTCAAAATAATGCTTTAAGCACCATTGTTTATTGCTGATTATATTTTTGGTATTATTGCACTTGTTAGTTTTTAATTTCATCGTGTCTTTTTATATTAGGCTAAAGACCTATGATATCAGAAACTTACAGGACATGCTACATATGGTTACTGTTGAAGATGAACAAGTAATCAACTCAATGGAATGGAGTGATGATGGACAGCTGTTAGCTGTATCTGGAAAGGACGGGAATCTCCATGTGTATTTAACTAAGTTACCTGTTCTAGGTTCTGCATTTCATCAAAAGTTAGCTTTTCTCAGCTCACTGTATGAAGTATCAATATTCAATGCTGCAAACAAAAAGGTAAGACAAAACGAAGATTAATTTGTTATTATTAGCAGAAAATTAATTAATTAAACCCGCAGCAGTTTCTACGAATATGAACCTGTACTTTGTCAGTAGTGATAATGAGTGATTTATCAACCCTTTGACTACTGGAAAAAAACTGATATTCAAGGATTACTAGTTAGACCCATTTAACCCATATCTGAAATGCATAATGTGAAGAAAAGGAATACAAACAATCATTGCAGTGAATAATAAATTAAAGGAATGCAAACAATCATCCCTTTTGCAATGAGTATATTTATTATTAACTCTCGGTGTACTGCTCAATTTTGATACATTCTGGTCCTGAAATATGGGGCTCTTTTTAAATTTATTAAATTTTTTATTTTCTCTATCTTCATATATTACTGTTCATGTATATTATAAACAAAATCAGTATAATGCAGGAATTTCAATAATTTTTTAACTTTTAGAAAACATACATTACGGCTCGTGCAATTTTAGCGAGCATGGAATAAAAATTTTAAAATACACTGGATCTTTTTTATGTTGATAAATATATGTGCTAACTAATTTGTACAGCTAATAATATTCCTTGTACTTGCTTATTATTATACAAAATTCTTTTTAGTGTGATAAATTTTGAAACATGGCTCTAAACATAATCCGACTTTACATTCTTCACACCAAATACGAGTCTCTTTATGTATTTCCCCCCCCATTTTTTTTGGGGGGGAGAGCAACACACATCACATTGCCTTCTAGGTTCGACCAATACCAATGATAATCGGGTTTACTTTTTTATAAGATTTGGTGATATGTGGCTTGCAGAATGCCTCCCTATAAGGTGAATAAAATTCATACTGTCGTTACTAGACCATATTAATAAGCACATAGCAGAAGAGTATTTATCAAAGATTTCTTCGATCTCAGCTAGCTTGAAATCAAAAAGGGATTTTTTCGTGTTTGTTATTTTTGTGTATATTATATACGAATTCCAAATTGCTTGATCTAATATATAGAAAAATATTTTCTTGTAATATTTGCGTTGTTGTTTTCGGATACTAGGGTAGTACGGCATCTCCTTATCGCATCTCTGTACATCCCCATTTTAAATTTATAATCATAAATCACTTTGGGCATTAATTTTTCTTTTGCTGTCCCTGAATAAACTAATATAGATGATGTATCATGAAAAGAATTAAGCATATTTACTATTTTATTATCATTCCACTTTAATAGCATATCTTTTCCATGCCGATATGCAATGCACTGTCCCTTTTCCACCTTTTTCTTTTGAAAAATCTGGTGGTAAGCCCTTTCTAGTGCTATGAAGTGTTCAATATATGTCTGTTTCCTTTTGAACAAGAATATCTGCCAAATATGGAGACATAATAATTATCCACTGTTATGCCTTTGTTCAGATACTGGTGCACTAGTTGAAGAAAAACACCAGTTGATTGTGGCTGTGTTAGGTATTCATATATGAAATGCATGCCTTTTCCCATGTTCAAAAGAAAATTGCATATATGACCTGATGAGGCTTCATATAACATGAAAAACTTTATCTCAAACCAAGAGCATTTCAAAGGAATATAATGTTTCCATGACAAACAACCCTTATAAAGCATTAGGGATTCATCTACACTGACTTTTCTTTGGGATTGAGTGTTTTGCAAAACCTTTTCCTAATATGTTCAATGACATAAATTTTTCACAGCTTAGGGCAAAGGTGTGATGAAGGGTCATAACTTTTGTTATGAATGGAATGAAGATTTTTCATTAAGAAGTAAAAATAGTCACGTGACATTAATTGTGAAAATAATAAATTTTTCACAGCTTAGGGCAAAGGTGTGGTGAAGGGTCATAACTTTTGTTATCAATGGAATGAAGATTTTTCATTAAGAAGTAAAAATAGTCATGTGACATTAATTGTGAAAATATTTGTGTTTTTATAGATTGCCTTTTCGACCAATACCAATGATAATCGGGTTTTTTTACTATCCCTTGGAAAAATAAAAGTATGAAAAATAACATCATTTCGTCAACGTTAGTCGGCCACCATAGTTTACACTTCCTTGAAAGTTTAGGCTTCTTAGCAGGATGCTGAGATGCAAATCTATCAGTTTCATTTACTACTAAATCCAGTTAAGTCTATTCACAAATAAGCTATGAAACTCGAAAGACTCGTTTTCATCAGTTATATTGACTAACAATTTAGTATCATCAGAAAATGGGAATCTAGGGGAAACTGGAGCAGGATTTTTCATATATCTTTTCATCCACATATGAACATTCAGAATTGCACTATCATTATTATCATTGGAGGCTTCTGTTTCGGTTTCACTTCCAAAGGATTGACTTCACAATGAATTTTCACTATTATCATCACTCTCCAAATTTATGGAATTTTCAGAGTCACTATCACTATTTCTGTCTTCATAATCAACATAATTTCATTTTGAATTCACAGGTAAAACACCACTGCAACTTGCCAAATCCATATTTTTGCAATCGTTTACCACGTAAATGACAAAGACACTTCCCACCAAGAATGAAAGAAGCAACGGCATCGATCATGTTCGACCCTATAGAAACAATAATACTCTCTTAACAATGATATAAACTTGTAGTGCCATCTAGGTGCAAAATAAAATGTAAAATATGAATATTACAATATTCTTAGCCTACACGGAGGAAAAGCGGAATCCATATTGAAAGTAAGAGAAATAAAGTTACGCTCGCTGTTTTCACATAAGTGGTATTACAAGATGGGTTTTGTGTCTCGTGGAAATCGCGGGGGCCATAAGCAGAGGATTAATGCATCATAATATGTACAATACAGAAAGGAAAAATTGTGACATTTATTTTTATAATCATCAATTATCAAGTACCTAAAGTACAAGTACCAGATTGTTCCCCCACAAAAAAAAAAAAAAAAATCTTGATGATACAGAGGTACTTTTGGAGCATTTCTGAAGAAATATGTTGAGGCAAAGACACTTTCTTCATATTTTCCTAATTCCTCTGTGAATTGAATAGTTAACGTCCTCCCCCTTTTTTTTTTCAGTTTTTTATAATATTCAGGATTCATTGACAGCAATAACGTGTACTTTCATAGCACTAATAGCTATCATATTATGAAACCAGTCAAATGATAATAAAATGTCTTACATTTGCCAGTACACATTTTCACCATTTTGTCCAGTGTCCACACACCACCTTTCTTTTTGATATAATCTAGGATTGCATGTGTCTTCTTTTCCAAAATGATAATTATAAATATACATTGTATTTAGTAAAGTAACAACTCTACCACTTTTTAGAACAGTTAGGGAGGGCAGTTGCTTTTTTTTAATCAGAATAATGTAAAATATATAACATAATTTTCGGACTTGTAAACAGTGATTCTAATTTATTTTTCAAGTTGTTCCAAAAGATATAATTTTTGGATGCAAGTGCATTGTTGCATCTTATGAAGGGAAAAAAAAATATTGCAAGTTACATTATAACCAGAATTTTCTGTTTCTTTTGTTAATCTGGCATTTTCTTGTTGGTGCCAACTTTCTTATTTAATTTTTACTGTATAAACTGCTAATATCCAGATATTCTGTTATGCTGTTACAAATAACCCAAAATTTCAATCTGTATTTCCCTGCTTTAGATGGCATATATTGCCAGAATAGAAAGGTTATGTTTTCTGCATAATGTAAATAGCTGCTGTTGTGAATCAGTTAGGAATATAAGACATTTGCAAATAACTATTCTGTAATTCAAAATGTTCTCTGTTTTGTTCTTAATCAAATCTTATAACATACGGTATGCTTGGGAATTTATTGCAACTGATATCATGAAGGATTTGACTTATTTTCTTTGATGTTTTATACTCTGTAGCTTACTGACTGCTTCATCATTCAGTTCATGAACTATAACAGTTCAATTTTTCATTTTCATTGCAAGTTTCCACTCTTGAGTGTATATACCATTCCATCTGCATGTAATCATTTTTTATGTAACATCTAAAAGTGCTGTGTAAAATTCAATAAGAAATGAGGATGACACAGAATCCATTTCACATTTTGGAAATCTAGATGTCATGCTCTTTTTTTTATATTGGTTTCACTGCATTGTCCTGATAACTTCATTTTAGTGCCATATTTTAGTACTATTTTGAGATACTAAAATCTGAGAAGTGCTTGGGCTTGCTACATTTACTTTTTTATTATCACTGGATTTTAAGTATGAGGATAATGAGATACCAGGAACTCCATCTTGTATCTTAACATCATCAATTTCACCTTCATCAGTCAACATACTTCAGAAATCATCATCAGTGTCTTTATCATCTGGATTTTCTATGTATTCACTATTTCTCTGAACACATGTTTTTTTTTTCCCTGGTCTCTTAGAACTTGATTTTCAGTAATGTAACTGAATTTGCTCAATCAGTTGTGGCTGTTGATAAATGATTTGCTGTACAAGATATGGTGCTTTCTATATAATGCATGACATTCAACTTCAAGTAGAATGTTCTCAAAACCTCGCCAAAACAGGCAATATTACGCTAACTGGATACTCAAATTTATTGCCAACTTGGTGACAAAAGAATATGGCAGATTTATCAACCCTTCTATTGTCTTTTTAGCAACCTTAAGAATTTTTTATGGGGTATAAATTCAGACCAGTGATAGGTCCACTGGATACATATGGTAAATTAATTAAAACAGATTTTAAAAAATAAATTTCATCTAAATGTAGAAAGAGTAAAACATTCTATAAAAATTCAGAATTAAGAAGTTTTTACCAATGTTTTAAAAAAAAAAAAAAAAAAAGCTTCAAAAATCATTTTATGTTCAGTCTATCTAGCAGACAGAAGGTTAAGAATGTTTTTGCATATTTCTTATAGATCTTGTATTAATAAATATGTATATTTTGCAGAATGATGTTAAAAAACTGAAAATTGATATTGAACCCAAATTTATTGCTCTTGGGCCTTTTCATATTGCTATTGGCATGAATAACAGGGCTTGGTTTTATAGTTTAAGTGATTCAGGTAGGCATAATTTTGTGTTTATTCCATTTTTATTCTACTAATTTCTTGCTTAAACACAGTGCATATTGTGTTTTAATAAAAGTATGTAAATTTTATTGCTATAATTTGAAATTACGAGGGCTATCCAGAAAGTAGATTACGTTTTGGAATAAAAAAATAAACAAAGTATAGGAAACAAATTTTATTATATACAGATGAAAGCCACACTCAAATACTACTTTTCTACATAGTCACCATACAAATTAAGGCATTTATCGTAGCGATGTACGAGCTTGGAAATTCCTTCGTCGAAAAATTCGGCCGCCTGCGCCTTCAACCACTTCGTTACCTCTTCTTGCAGCTGTGCGTCGTCATCAAAACGCTGCATAGCCAGCCACTTCTTCATTGCTGGAAAGAATAGGTGGAAGTCGCTCGGTGCCAGGTCGGGACTGTACGGCGGATGAGGAAACAAACAACTCCCACTTAAAAGACTCAAGAACTTTACGAGTGACATTTGCCGTGTGGGGCCGGGCGTTGTCGTGAATCAACAAGATCTTAGAGCTCAACATTCCTGCGCTTGTTTTGTTTTGAATTGCTCTTCTGAGTTTTTGGAGAGTTTGGCAATACCTTGGAGAGTTTATTGTAGTGCCTCTTTCCAGGAAGTCCACCAAAATTACACCTTTTCTGTCCCAAAAAACAGTCGCCATCATCTTCCTTGCCGACATTGTTTGCATGCATTTCTTGGGTTTTTGGGGAGAACTTGTGTGCCCCCACTGCATTGATTGCAATTTCGTTTCACAGTTCACATGTTTCACCCATGTTTCGTCACCAGTAACGATGCGATCGAGTAAAGAGTCACCATCCTTATGGTAAGCGGTCCAAAAAGTTCAACGCTGCAGCCATTCGCTGATTTTTTTGGTCCTCTGTCAAGATTTTAGATTTTTGGAATCCATCTTGCACAAAACTTGTGGTAACCAAGCTTTTCGCTGATGATTTCGTGCAACAAACTTCGCGAAATTTGTGGAAAACTGGAAAACTCAAAGAAAGTTCCGTTATTGTGAAATTTCGATTTTCACGGACTTTAGCATCGACTTTTTCGAGAAGTTCGGCGGCGGTCACTATGGCTGGGTCTCCCACTTCGATCTTCGTCGTGAACATTGGTTCGGCCATTTTGAAATCTTATGACCCACTGACGCACTCCACCTTCAGTGATAATGTAGTCCCCATACACTTCACGAAGCTGCCGATAGATTTCTATCGGTTTACAAGTTTTTTTTGCAGTCAGAAACCTTATTACTGAGCGCACCTCTCGCAGCTCGCGGGGGATTTTCAATTAACGCAGACATTTCAAACCGTCACAGTATCTGAACGGAGCACAGCACGAACCTCTCACTAGCACGGCTAGATGCAGACTGAGCTGCGCAACGCTCTGACCCCAAGATGGCCGCGCTAGCCCCGCCCCTAGCGGACACAGACGGAAACGTAATCTACTTCCTGGATGGCCCTCGTATGTTTCTTATTTCTATTTCCAAAAAGTAAATACCATTTGTGCATATCTGCAATGCATATGACAGCACAAAGGTCGCGCATGCGTGGTTACATTGTTTAACTTGAGAATTAATTAGCCTAACTTTTTTTTTATGTTTATGCCTGTAGACATAAATGTAAGTCATTGCTTGTTGGTAAGTGTGTTCAAAATAATTGATCGGCCCACCAGCGGTGAAATAAGAGCTCTTATCAAGTTTTTGAATGCAAGAAATGTTTGACCTTTGAAATTTATCATAAGTGAAACTTATAAAGCTATGGTGTGAAAGTGAGTTAGGATGTTTAATAAAGGGAGAGAAAATGTTCATGACAAGGAATGCAGTGGTCATCATCACTAATTGCCAAAGAATTGGTCCTCTGCATTGACAAAAAAATTCATTCCAATAGGTGATTAGTGATTTTTGATTTGTGTATGCAATTTCATAACATTTTATTATCTTTATTACAAGAAACTCTGACTGGATATTTGCACTATAAAAAAAAACTGTATTTGCAATGTGTACTAAAAACACTAACACGCGCTGAAAATCAGAAACCCATATTCAAGGCACAGCCTTGAAGTTTTTTCAGCTTTATGCTACGGGGGGGGGGGGGGGGAAAAAAAAAAAAAAAAAAGGGGGGGAAAAAAAAAAAAAAAAAAAATTTTTGAAGACAAAATAAAACTGTATGTTGCGATGAAAAAAACTTTTATTCCCAAACCAAGAAACTTTTCATTTCATTAGGGTTTTAGTGTCTTTTTTCTGCAACCAACATTCAAAGCTTATCAGGTTCAATGTTTCTTCTAACCTTCTTCGGAAACATACAATGACCTGACTAGAACAGAGAGCTTACTAAAGCTATGTTCACTAATTGTAGTAAGTAGACAGGATACAGACGAAGGGTATACAAAACCCTTTATTTTTTTCTTTATATACAATGACTTCCGTACTTCGGAATACAATGACCCTCCACTCGGGGTCTAACTTAAAAGATATCAAAATAAAACTAAACTCTAATTTAACTTTAGAATAAGATTGGCCTTATAATAACAGAAAGCGTATGTAGCACAGAGACTGTGAACACTACAATACGTTTAATTTATCAAGAGGATTAAAACCTCTGGCCTGGAAGGCAAAGGCAAAGTAGCAACTGCGTAACTTCTAAGGTAAGCGGCCTGCTTCGAACTCACGGCTTCCTCTCTTCTGCTTGGCAAAAAGGCCACACTTAAATACTTGGCGTTCGCCAGACAAACTTTGCATAAACTCCTTCACGCTTATAATTCTGGCCGGAAGTAGAAAATAAGAAGTGATAGTAAAGATTTAAAATAAAATAAACGTTAGTAAAACTTAAGATCCTTACATACTTCCCGCCAGAGTTTAATTAGTTTGAAACTGAGGTCTAAAACGACCTTGTTGAAAACTTTTAGCTCTAGAAACTAACGCGAGGCCAAACCTTTTACAATCATAACTTAGCTAGAAACTAGAAAATTTTTAAAAGAAAGAAATTTGTTACAATAGCAGCTCCCGGAATATACAACAATCTTTTTTCTTTTTCATCTGTACTGCATCAAAACAGGAGCTTTATTCAATTCTGGTTCCTTCCAGAGATCTGGAAGGAAAACTAGTTTAATGAAATGTTACAGAATGACATTGCAAATAACATATAGAATATACTTTTCTTAACATTCTTATTTCATTCATGACTATTTTAATTATCTCTCCCCGTGCTCTCTGACATGTGTTGTAAAAACACCAAACACGAATGTGTTTCTGTCTATGTGTTCAACACTTCCTCCTACAATCAAAACACTAACGTGTTAAAATTCAACATACGAGACCTCTTAACACACCCTAATTTCAACTCTAGACCCTGAGGTACTATTCTGAAAGTGGCTAACTCTAAAGTGTAGCGTCAGAGAGCCTAACTACATCATTCAACCTTTAACACATATTCACCATGATTTAATCTTTACAGTCACACGAATAACAAATTTTTAACATTACTTTCACTTTTACCATATCACGGTATTTCTTAAACATTCAAAATAACAGTTCACATGTATACAAGAACATATCAAGATGCCGTTAATTTTACACATTTGAAAACATACATTAGTAGTACATTGTTAACTTCTATTCTTTTCAAAGCAAGTGCCAATTCTTTCTACATTGAAATAATACTACATTTCAAAAAGTCTTTCAGACTAAAACTTCTTTCTTGCTTAGAATGTTTTAAATAAAATTTATACAATAACTTTTTACAATATTTAAGTCTTTATACAACGCTATTATACATCAACTTTAGTTTTACGCGCGAGTAATTGAAAAAACATAATAAGAAAATCGGTCACAACTCATTTCTCGCCCTTTTGGCGATAAAGGTAGACCTCGCATGAGGTAAAACTTCTTGAAATCTGCCACTTGCAGTAAGAATGAAAGATTAACTTAAGTTTGTAAAAGTAACATAAAATTTTACTTATCTTTGTAATATTCAGACATCCTTTTCTGGGCCCAGTCTTTAAAGGTGCTGCAGACCGTAGCTTGGTTGATCCTCCTTCTTGTACGGGCTCGCCCTTCAGTGCTTTCCTCTGGAAGCTTCCGTTTTTCACCACTACGGCCACCCTTGAACATCTTCCTTCTGTCCTCTGCTTGTGGTCTTGGCCGTTTGAAGGCAGCTGGTCTTGGTGGAACCGGGAAACTTCTGTCGTGATCCTGCTTGGACCTCGTTGTTGGGCCGTTCAAATTTTTCTTGTACTTTTTCCTCCGCCGCTGATGGCCCTTCCGCAGTTCGGCGACTTTTGCTGCGGAGAGTTCTGTCGGATGAGTCAATCTTCCGTTTCACAGCCGGGTTATAGTTGCCGTCCTTTCTCCCGGTCTTTTCCACATACGTCGTCCTTCTCCCTTCTTCATTCTGGGGGTGTTCGTGGTGAACTCTGTTTTTGGACGGTGGAACGGCTTCTTTTTCTTTGTACCTTCAATTTTTCCGCGGGGCAATTTTCTTTTCACTTGCTTCTGTCTCTCATTGGCTTGCCCTTGTACTTGTCGTTTTCCCACCTCTGGAACTTGTACCTGCGGTGTCTGCCGTACCGGATCCTGCAAAAGATCTGAAAAGATTTGCATTTTATTACGATCGATAGAATGGTTTTAATCTGATCAATGTTTGCGGAACAGGTTTCACCATTTCTTGCCTTTAACACTACAACAGCGTGAGTTATTTTTTCTATAACATATGGTCCTTCAAAGCGTGGAAAAAATTTGGCAGTTTTATCTTCTGGTGCTGAAGAAAGTGAATGCTTAATTTTTAGTAACTTCATCCCCTACTTTATAAGTTACTCCCCGTCGTTTCAAGTCATAATACAATTTTTGTTTTCTTTGTGCTACTTCCGTATTCTTTTTTGCTTCTTTTATTAGTTTTTCTATATCACCCATTTTAAATTCTGGGGCTCTTTGTTGCACATAAAATAGTTTATCTAACGGTGTTATAACCTTTCTGCCTAG